AATTAATTGATATTAAATAAGTTCAACTTAAAATAGGTGAAACTTGGTCTATAGGAAGGGATTTAAAAAGAACTCATTATTAATTTATTGGATATCCTATTCATTAGTTATTATCTTAAATTCATTGCATAATTTCATATGTTTAAAAGGATGGGGAAGCAAAATTTATTATAGATGATCAAAATTCAAAAAATGGCACTTGGTTAAGATTAAGCGATAAAAAAATATAGAGTCAACCTTAGCTGTTGCTGAGAAATAGTAAGTTTAATTTTGCCTTTGAGATTAAATATGAAGTGATTGATGTTTATTATTAAAATAATTAATGAATAATAAAGAAAAATAAAGTATATGGATATAAAAAGATGGACATGATAACCTTGAAAACAGCATATTGGTTAATGTCAATACAGGAGAAAATAGTTAACCAACTTCTTGTATTAAAGCAAAGAAAAATTAGAATAAGTAAGCATGTCATTGTGGCATCTTTTGATAGTAAAGATTCTTAAAACTGATTTTCAATGATATTAACTACAAGAACTAAATTATTCATACATTAATATTCCTATTATCTTTTATATAATAGGTTCCATACAAGCACTGGACTTCAGAAATCTTTTTCTCATTAATCATAATTTCTCAGTATTATTACTACTTTAATATATAATAAAGATTGGTTATTTAAATACTTTGATTTTTTGTCGGTAGTTGAGAATTTTCGATTTTTATCATTTTTCATTATTTTCTTGCTTTTTTAAACCTCTCAATAAACTCAGATTGTGTTATTATTTATATTTAAAATCAATCAATTCATTTTTAAATTGTTGACAACAGCTTTTAACTGAGTATATCTCAGTATAAAAGTTCTTTATTTTACTTTGATATTTAATATCATCAATAATATATTTAATGAAAAATATATAATATTATAGAAAGCTACTAATTAAATTTAAAGTGTATTTTATTTATATTTGATTCAGAAAAATCACAAGACTTAATTTATTCTTGAAATTGTTTAGAGTATAATTGATTTATTATCAGATTGTTGTGATTATTCACCATACTATTTCAAAATTATGGAAGTTCTAACTCTTTTCTTTACAGATGGTGAATATAAAGTGAATTTCCATGATTTTAAAATTCAATGCCCTCGCTAAATAATGGTGAATTATTCATTTGAAAGGAGGTATTTTAGGCAAAACATTTTCTAAATAGTTGATCCCTGATTTTAAAAAGTAATACTAGCATCTCCTTTCTATATTTTATCTAGATATTCAAATTTTCTAAATTTTTAAGTAGGAGAAATTTTTTCATTAAAATTTTCGATATGCTATTATTGATCAGATTTTAATATATTGTCATTTTTATTATATTATTCTTTCCTTTGTTCATCATAATGTATTCCTTGAAAATATTATATTTTCTAATTTATTAGTTCTTCTCATTTTTTTCATTGATAGTAGTAAGACCTTTTTTTAATTATTAGAATTAAAGATTTACAATAAAAAATAGAAACTTTATTTATAAGTAATAATTTTTAGGTAGCTATTAATCCTACTTAATAACAGGTTTTCTATGAACTTTTTTATAAACAATTATTTTGATTTTATTCTTTGCTTTGCAATAATTTTATAATCGCTTATAATTCTAAACAGTTATTCATTTCTCTCTTTCCATCGAATTTTTCTATACATAGTATGATTGTAGATTTACTTAATGATAATATTCATGTAAATATTTGTTCAGAATATCATATGAATTTATATATTCTTACAATTACTATTTTTCCAAAGTAGATACTTTTTGAAAATCTTTATCTTTTTAAATTTGAATCTTTAACAAATGATAAATTTGCCATTATGAATTGAACAAAATACAATAAACAGTAATGATTATTTAAATTATTGTTTCAAATAAAGTATAGACACTTAATATAAGATTGTGAAAGAGTTCCTCTAATGAATTATAAGGTAGAAAGTTGAGAAAAGTGTATAAACTAAATTTCTAAGTTAATGAAAGCAGTTATTAAATTTAATAAATACAAAAAAATGAAGGTTTGTAGAGGATTTCTTTACTTTGCAGTTATGATAGTTTGTTTATCAGCATTAACAGGAATATACTTAGGGAAACCAAATAAAATTGCTAGAGGTTTTGATAGTGATGGTATAAATTAAATAATTCAAACTACAAGCTTATGCCTGTGGAGTTGATCCAGGTTTAGAAGATTATCCATATGCTTATTTTGTTAATCCTACTCCAGAATATAAATATAGAATTTTATGTGTGAAACAATGTCCAACAGTTGATTCTTAACTTTTGGATTGTGCTCCAAATACAGAAATACCTGAGTGCACTAAATAAACTAATGTGTTACACCCCGAAAAAATGGTTAGTTATTATGAATCATTCATATATAAAGGAAATGTTTGTATGCCTACATCATTGGAATATTATGATGGAGTTAAAGACTTTTCATCTCCAGGTATTATTGGAATGATTATCAATGATTTTATGTAAACATGGCATATAATTGCACTTGTAAGTTGTTTTATAATATTTGCTTGTTCAATTTTATTAGAATAATTAAAAGCTAACACAACTTATGTAGTTTGGACATTCTCTATGTTTTCTTTATTGATTATTGGGGCTATAGGAATTTATTTCATTTCATAATGGAATTTTGCAAGAAATTATCAAACTGAATAAGCCATTATTAATAATTTTAAAGTCAATGAAGAATACATTTATAAAATGACTAATTAACCTAATCAAACTCTTAATTTTGTTTTTGGAATCATTTTTGTTCTTACTTTTTTATATGGAATGTATTGGTTATATAAAAATTCAGATAGAGTGTAAGATTTAGCTGATATTTTTGAATATGTTGAAAACTTTATGAAAGAAAATCCATTTTTATTACCTTTAAATTATGTATTCTTAGGTTTCTTACTTTCATTCATAATATTATTGTTGCTTACTTGTTTGTAATTAATTTATTCTTATTTTAGGTTTCTGGGTTCTACATTCAAATTGAAACAAGATTCAAATTTAGGTCCTTTTGAAAAAATTGAATTGAATACATTAATTACAATCTCTACAGGTTTAGTTTTTGTTTTTGTAATATGGATAATCCAAGTTATTAATGGTTCTTATTAATCTATTATCTTTTGCAATTTTAAAATATGGATTAATAATATAATTGCACGTCAATAATCTAATAATATAGATTCACTAGAATTAGGTATGTTAATACTCTATTGTTCTAATGCTATTAGAAATCTAAATTTATAAATTATAAGTAAAATCTCTTTTGCATTATTGTTTTCACCAATAAAATTAGTTTTAGATTTTATAAAAGATACATTTACTGACATTTTTAAGATTAGGTGTAACCCTTTCAAATTTTTATCAAGTAATCTTTCTAACAATATTAATAAGCTCTTGAAGAAGTTCTTTATTATGAAGTTGATTTAAATTAAGATAATATAAGTCCTGCCATTTTAAAGGTTAAAGAGCATTTATAAATTAATGAAGATGGAGCAGCTTTAAATACATTTGAAATTATTAGAAACATTAATGATTTCTTTTTATTGATAGTAAAAGTCTTTGCTTGTCTTATTTGTGTAACACTCTTTTTAATAATTCTATCTATTATCAACTTTGTTAAATAAGAGATTCCTTTACTTTAATAAACTCTCTAGATTAATTTATATTAACCTTTAATCCCTGCTTTCATTGTTGGTCTTATTGGGTATTTTTTATATTTTAATATTTTAGATACTAAATTGCTTAAATTTATTTCTGTTAATATACAACAGTACAATGTTTTGGATATGCTTATATTTCTGCTTGTACTTAAGTCTAGACCGAATTTCAATAACATGTTCAAAATTATCAAGGACAACCAAATCAATAATTTTAAGATTATTTATAATCTAGTAATTAAGCTCTTTTCAGACATTAAAGATTGAAGATAAAGTTTCCTGTATTTAAAAAATATTATCTTTTAGGAATTAAAAGAAATGATAGAAAGAACTCTCCCAAAATTGGAAGAACTCCTCAGATAATAGAATAATTGAACTAATAGAAAATATATATGAATATTTAATCAATCTATCAAAAAAATTGCTATATAATAATTTTAAATTTAAATTAATACATTTCAAATAAAAAATATATTTTATAAAATTTATAGGAATTAAAAGAATACTATTTATGAATATGATTGAGACTGAATTTAAGATTGTTGATGGATATGTGGTAACTGGAAAATTCTTAGGATTAGTATTTCAGAATTTTATTAGGGTTCTTGTGGTTCTGTTTATAGAGCATAGAAAGAAAATGATCTAAAATCGATTCATGCTGTCAAAATTCTACCTATGATACAATTAGCAAATAATAAACATTTCATGAAAACAGTACAAAGAGAGATAGAAATTTTGGGAAAACTCAAAAGCTAACATATAATATAGTAATAATA